CTAGTCCATAAAGTGCTGGGACAGGGGAGCTTCGGAAAGGTGAGTCTACTAACAATCTATACATCTTAATACATCTATTGATCTAGTGGAGAACTCACATAACTTCTCATTATTATTATTGTATTCCTATAACAATTTATTGGGAATTAATTTGTTATTAACCTTGGGCACGTGTATGATCCATGAATGTGGAAAGTATAGTAAGACGTACAAAGTAGACTCCAAATAAAATACCTAGGACATTCTATTTTGTGTTTAACATGGCTTCTTATGTTAACAGTTCTAATAAATCTTTCGGTTCTTCTATAAACTTTCATCATTCACAACAGAACAACAGACATAGGTCTCGAATTAGTAAAAACATTTCAAATTTTCCAAGCTCTGTATAAATATCCCTTATATAGGATTCTCAGGTAGGTTTCCGAGCTCTGTATAAATATCCCTTATATAGGATTCTCAAGTAGGTTTCCAAGCTCTGTATAAATATCCCTTATATAGGATTCTCAGGTAGGTTTCCGAGCTCTGTATAAATATCCCTTATATAGGATTCCCAGGTAGGTTTCCAAGCTCTGTATAAATATCCCTTATATAGGATTCTCAGGTAGGTTTCCGAGCTCTGTATAAATATCCCTTATATAGGATTCTGAGGTAGGTTTCCAAGCTCTGTATAAATATCCCTTATATAGGATTCTCAGGTAGGTTGCCGAGCTCTGTATAAATATCCCTTATATAGGATTCTCAGGTAGGTTTCCGAGCTCTGTATAAATATCCCTTATATAGGATTCCCAGGTAGGTTTCCGAGCTCTGTATAAATATCCCTTATATAGGATTCCCAGGTAGGTTTCCGAGCTCTGTATAAATATCACGTCCGTTAAACAGAGCTATTAGGAAGGCCCCCAACTCCTGTAAATACATCCCTCAGGTGGTGTTGAAGCTATGTTACAAAGTGATATCTGTATTATGTCCGCACTGTTTTAAAAAGTAGCTGAAATTCGCACCTTCTTTTGCGACATTGTGTTTGATACGAGGCTCTCTCCTCTCTCTATGTGATGCTCAGGTTGTGCTTGCTTCCACCATGGATACAAGTCAGGTTGTTGCCATTAAAGTAATAAAGAAAGCTAAAGTTGAGGAAAACACCATTCAGAAGGAGAATCGAATACTGCAAATGGCGTGCGGCAGTCCGTTCCTGTGTCAGGGACTCACTGCCTTCCAGACCCCGGTATGAAACTCCGTGCCCATAATGTTTCCTTATTTCTAGATATTTCTATATGGCTGATTGTGTTCTGTTCATATTAATGCAGTTTATATTAACCGGAAATTTGCTGTCTCTCTTGTGAAACAGGAGTACACCTGCCTGGTCATGGAGTACATACCAGGGGACAGTCTCCAATCCTATATGACTGGGAAAGAACATCTGTCCATGGAGGAAGCAAGGTGAGTCATTAATAGCACTAACAGGTAGAGGAAAGAAGTAGTGAGTTTAACACACGATACAGAAATGTACCTTTCAATGTCAGCCAGACAATGGGCAATACAAGAAACTTGGAACTCTGAGCGGGAGGTGTTCTGTATGAACTGATGGCAGATCGGGAGCAGATATGAGTTAGCTGACCTGCCGTAGCCCTAAGCCGACTTCAGGGTGTATTTCAATTTTTATTACCATGGATCTTCTGAATCAATTCATATATAGATTGTGCTTTATAACAAAGAACTGAGAAGGGTTTAATGGGTAACATATCAAGAGACAGTCCACCATATGGGTACTTATTGAGTAAAACCATTATAAGGATCATGTTTTCAATTAATAAAACTGATGGTTTTAATATTAATGGTATTGAAGTAAAGTCTTATCTCCCATGGACAGGTCCCATTTAATTTAAAATGAAAATGTTTTGTATATATTTGTAGCAGATTGTTAGGTATGATAAATAGATACTTGTATCGTACTTGCTGTCATACGTTTCTCGTCCTGCGCAACTCCGGTCCCTCCGTCCATGCAGACTGTGTCTCCCCTCTCCCGCGGTGTCCTAAAGTTCGGCAGCCGATGGGTGGTCACACGTCCACGCAATTAACGGCACTGTCTTTGGCCCCTTAAAGGGAAAGCACTCCTATTATAACTGCTCACTAATTACCTTAATTGGTTCCCTAGCCTATCAACACACACTTAGGCCTATTTATACCTCCCACTGACATCACTTTCTTTGTAGTCCGAGAGTGCGTTTCTTTAGCTTAGACTTTTCTGGTATCTTACTTCCACTTTGTTTTCTGGTATCCTTGACCCTTTTCTTTGTTCTACATTCATCCTTTCGTCTCCAATCCAGAACTTGGCCGGTCTGTCTATTCTATACCTCTTTCTGCACATTATATACGTTAAGACCAGCCACTCTAAGGCACGGGAATACGTCTTGGTTAGTGATGTCCCGAACGGTTCGCCACAGACTCATCATTGAGTAAACTTTGACCCTGTACCTGGGAGGGAGGGTCTGCTGCTGATTGGCTGAAATGTGTCTGCTGACTGTGAGGTACAGGGTCAAAGTTTACTCAATGATGAGTCCGCGGCGAACCGTTCGTGGCGAACCGTTCGGGACATCACTAGTCTTGGTTTTTGTATAAGTATAGAGCTCCTTAGTTTGCGTGTTAGTGTAATTGACCTTGACAACTGCATAGTGCTGACGTGTCACAGTTACCCTGTTAGGTGCACTATAAAGAGAAATACATTTTACCAATAAATTTAAGTGTTCTGCCCTGTTATACGTTGTTATTTTTATATTAATGATTTGGGCAGATTGCTTGATGTTCTTTCTATTCTTTTTTCCAGGTTCATTTCAGCAAACCTTGTCTGTGGGATCCAATATCTCCATGCCCGCGGGATACTTCATAGGTTAGTATTAGTGTTGGTTTATTTAGAAAGCACCATCGTAGTCTAATGAGAAATAATGTGTTTATATCTCTGCTCTCACCTTTATCTCACATTTATATCTGTCTTTATTATCTAGGGATCTGAAGCCAGCCAATATTCTCTTTGATGCCAAGGGCTATGTCAAAATAGCAGATTTTGGCCTCTGCGAAGAGAATATTTTTATGGATACAACCACCAATGGACGAGCTGGCACAGTCAAGTACATGGCACCAGAGGTTAGTTAGAGGGTGTGGTTATGTGAGCTGTAGGGGTAGTTGTTAAGGGTAGTGATATAAGAGCATATATGTTTAATGAGCAGTAGAGAGGTAAGTAGCAGTGGGGAGAAGAGGGCAGTATCAGAGTATAGATAAAACAAAAAAAGGGATACAGCTGTATATCTGCAAATAACTAATTGGCAACATGGTATCCGAGTAGCAGTGGGTGGACTTAGAGGAATGTGTTTGGACTAGTTTTGGAATAAAATGATGGGGATTATATGAAAAGCTGTAAGATAGTAATGTTCTCAAAAACTCCATACCAAACCTCACAGTCGAAGTAGAAATATAGTAATGATGTGTCCATTTAATACCATGTGTAATAAAATTACATGTCTTATGTGTTTTTCCAGGTACTAAGCTACAAAGAGTACGGCCAGTCAGCAGACTGGTGGTCGTTTGGAGTCATTCTCCATTACATGATAACTGGGCAGAATCCATTTAACACCAAGATCAGTAAGCCGCATTTTATAAATGAAGTATTAAACGCTGACCCAGGTTACCCAACCTGGCTGGGCAGTGATACTATAGACCTCCTGAGCAAGGTAAGGAACAGGCTGTGATAGGAGCAGATACACTGTAAGCCGGTAATAGAGATTGTGCCGGTTAATGTATTAATTGCATATAATGATAAAGGTTGTAAAGAAGACTGATAGAAGTTACTGTAGAAGATATAGGATATCGGTGGTAATAGATACTGGCTCTATTTATTGCAGTATGTACTAAACCGGTTACAGAACCAACTCTTAACATGAGAATGACTGGTCATGTTCCAGTGCAGAGCAGATTCATAATTCCCTATTCATGCCTATCACCCATTATTGCTTAAATTTGATAGCAGCACGGAGTGGTGGGGTGTTTAGCAACTAATGCCTGAAATTATTTAAACCTTGATATTTAGTGGGTTAATACTAATATTTAATAATGATGGCTGATTAAAGCAGACATTTACTAGTATAGTATAGTATTGTAATCGTTCTTGCTGAATGACCTTTTTATCGGCTGTTTAGATATATATCAAAGTGATATATATCCTCCCTATTTTAATTACTATGTGATGCCAATTAATTGCCTCAGTAAAAGAAAAAAAATATTTATAAAGAATTAGAGTTGCTGGTCAGTCAAATAAATTAGATTATTGCTAATGTAACAATTTACAACAAACTTTACACAAACACAGCCTCATCTGAGGTTTGATAGAAGGTTAAAATGGCTTCCTTCAACAGGGGTGATAACTTTTAGTTTGCATTATAGATTATTACATTGTACATTAAAATGTTACAGTTCGGAAATATCACAAAGTAAGTGTTATACTCTGTGCATCCTCTCTCTCTCTCTTATTAGCTCCTGGATAAGGACCCTTGTGCACGCGTTGTGATGGGAAGGAACATTCGGGAGCACCCCTTCTTCAAAGACATTAGTTGGGAAGATCTTGAGAGGGGTGAAGTGAGCTGTCCATTCCTGACATTGCTAGTAAGTGCACATAGAATCAGTATTTACAAACTGAGGAGGGATTATATAGAATAATAAATCCTTATTATTATTATTATTAAAAAACGATTCCTTAATCCTCCATTAATCACATCCCAGCAGGGGTTCAACTAAAGAAGTACTGGATTCATTTCTCCCCAGCGTTAATGTGACCATTAGAAACTGTACATTGTTATTTATATGTAAGAAGTAGACAATGCCATATGATGCTAAACTAATTACATCTCCCTTCATATTGCAGACACCAGAGACAGGCAACACGGGGAAGTAACTGAAAACTATGCCAACAGTGACCCGTCTTTCACGATCCCTAAAGGTCAGGAATGAAAGGACTGTAGAGGCGTCCAACAAGGAAGATAGAGGTGGCCATGTCTCGGTTATACTACAGGAGCTGCTCGAACATCAAAAAGAGCATGTTCTACTATTTTATAACATCAAACAAAAAATATTTGCTTTATACCATCAAAAACTTACATTTTCTGTATTATTATTTTCAAATCAAACATTTCCTGGAAAACATCAACAGGATAATATAATAGAGGGGAATAAAAGTCTGAGAACTATTCTCAATAGTCCAAATTCAAGAGGGCTGATATCTAGGTGCATAGATATGATCACAGAAATAAAATTAGACGACAGTTTTAATGCCAAAGTGGTATGGGGAAAAGACCTGAATAGAGAGATATCAGTTGAGGATTGGATCAAGGCTATAAATAATGTCAATAGAATGGCACACTGTCTAAACATTGTTCAAATTTTTACAAACTAGTAAATAGGTAGTATCTAGTCCCAGAAAAACTCTCTAAAATGTATAAAGGCAGGCATATTGGTTGTTGGAGATGCGAATCAGGAAAAGGCGATTATCAACATATTTGGTGGCAGTGAGGGCTACTTAAACTATGAAGTGGCATTAAAGATCAGATAAGCATACTGTGGCAGACACCCCGATGGGAAGAGGGGTTTTGCCGCCAGAGATGTTCTTTTCCCACCAGTGTGAGTAGAGCTGCAATAATCTTAAAAGTGATAATTCCAAGAGTGGCGAAATAGTTCTTCTAACTGTTCCCTACTAGCACAAGACGAGGCTCTGTGTTGAGGGTAAAACTGGAACTGATTTAATGGAGACCACACACACAACCTTTTATGTGAATCCCCATGTGCAAGGGTTTAGTGTAACATTTTCCAGGGGCATTCCCCACGCGACCTGAGAGGAGACTGTGACAAAGTACACAACTTAATTAAATAAATAATGGGGAGGACCTAATGTTTCCCCCAGGTCCCCACTCATGATCAGTGGACGGGGGGACCCAATGTCCCCCCCAGGTCCCCACCCATGAGGGGCGGGTGGGAACCACAAATACTAAAGTGAATAGGGATCCCAAATCCCCTAGTCACTCTCCCCTCCAATAAAAATACCCTACCTACTCCCCTCACCCTAATAATAGTGGGGGGAGGGGCAATAAACTAACCCTGTAAAATTTAATTTCATACTTACCATTAGATGTCTTCATTCCTTTTCTTCAGGCCCAAATAAAAATCCATAATACACGCATCTGTTAAAAAAGAAAAACACAAAAAAAAACACACACAAAAAAAATTCTTGACGCAAAAAAAAAATAATCCTTCTTCACTCAGCAAGGGTTTGGTGCAGAATGAGCTCCGCAGGGAGGCGAAAGGCTTATAAAACCTTCCCACGCCCTGCAATTAGACTCAGAGCGCACTGATCCAATCAGAGTTCTCTGACAGGTAAATGAAGAGACTGACAGGTAAGTGCAGCAAAAAACTGTATAACAACAAAGTGCAAATATCCAGGGTAATAGCCTATTTGAGGCATACACACTTTTGCACATATTGATTCAGTTTAATTGTGCCACGATATCTGTGAGTGTTCCGTTTTTATTTTGTTTTTTTATCTTTTGTTATTAAAGCTTTTTTATTTTCATGTGAGTTCTACAAGCTCATCATCCAGTTGGTAACTATATTCACCACTGTGCTTGTGAAAGTGGTGCCCTACACTGTATTTGCACTTTGTTTTTATACAGTTTTTTGCTGCACTTGTTCTTAAAGGGATATAGGGAGTGTGTCCCATTTGTAGTTGCTTGCCTGCACTTATTTCTCCTTTTGGTCATCTCACTATTTTCTATTTTGTATGACAGGTAAGTAAGAATGCTCTGAGTCATTTTACACAGCGTGGGAAAGTAGTTTGGAATTTTCCCATGCTGTGTAAATTCACTCATAACACTGATTGGTTGCTTTCAAACCCCTTTTAACCAACCAATCAGAGGCTTATGAGCCAAATTACACAGCATGGGAAAATTCTAAACAACTTTCCCACGCTGTGTAAAATGACTTGGATTGGTTGAATTCCAAGCCAACCAATCAGAGTGCTGTGACAGGTAAGTGTAGAGACTTACCTGTCAGTCCACTCTTATTGGTTGGCTTAAACTATTATTGGTTGGCCTAAATTATTTATTTAATTATGGTCCTCACCCAACGGTCATAGGTGGGGGCCTGAGGGGACTAGGTCCCCCCGTTTATATTAATATCCCCCACCCACAAGACACGGGTGGAGGTGCGGGGGGGGGGGGCACTATGTCCCCCCCATTTTAGTTATTCAGGATCCCCACCATAGAGGAATGGGGGGACCTATGTCAGGTCCCCCCTTATTGCACTAGCAACTGGGCAGCAATAGCAATAGCAATAGCTGCCCAGTCACTAGTTCATTTAAATTTGTTTAGATGGCATGTGGGAGGATTTAACCTCCCTTTTATTAATATGGGGGTCATAGGTTTTAGTACAAAAACGAATGCGCATGTCTGGTGGCCACATGTCTCCGCGGAAGCTTGTATGGGTGTGTACTGTGGGAAGTAGAAAATAGATAAGAAATTTGGTATAAAGTACCATTAAAAGTATTTTGTATGGGTATTTGTAATTTTATGTTATTGAACGTTGTATTTATTGAATTTGATACATTTTGATAAAATTAAAGATTAAAAAAAAAAAAAAAAAAAAGATATTTATGTACATTGTGAAGAAAATTTAGTTTTTTTTAACTTTTTTCCATTCGGTAGCTGTAACTACTAAACACCGACAACCCCCCTTGCTCATTAACTTCAAAGAGATCAGTTGATTAAGTGCTCTCCCGGTTTAGCCGACGTTCATATAGTGGAACTAAAATCGGACACTCGACTTCCCGAACACCGGTCAAACTGTACAAATGCCTGCTTCCTTTTCCCAAACAGCTAGGATAATGCTGTTCGGTAGTTTGGTTCCCACGAACCAGGGGAACAATCTCTACCATGAGCCAGGGGGAGCAGTTTGTGCATTTGTCGAAATAGACCGGCCGCACAGCCTAAAATCTCAGAGCAGGTCGATATTTGAAATGACAGTATCAAGACAGTAGGCATTATTGTCTTAATCTGACATATGCATCTCTCAGTTTGATATGAGTAATATTAGATCTTATTAGGTTAGAAATCCTAGCTTGTTTCCGGGTTGTGGATCCGGACAAGCGGCGCGCAGGTATATATGCTTGCCTTGTCCAGTGTTAATTCTTGGGGTAGTCTGGTCCCAGGGCACCATACGGTCATTATAGTTTACGGTAGGTGATGGGTGTGAACACGGGTGAACTGGGAAGGGGGAAAGGTGTGGTAGAGGTCATAGTGTTCTGCTATTACTTTTGAATATGGACTGCTGTAAGCCTAGTGGGTGAATGTCCTTTAGTCTTGGGAAAGAGTAGAGGTTCGTCGCGTTTTGTAGTGTTAGGGACGCTGTTGGGATTGTCTGGAGTGAGATCGGCTGTGGCAAGGCCAACCAATAGGGAGGCAGTGTCGTTGGTAAAAGAGGTGGGTTCAGGTATGTAGCTATATACATTGTAGAAGAGTTAAAGTAAGGAGAACGTTAGTGAGAAAAGGGACAATGTTGATCTTTTGATCAACACTCAACTAGGGAAATAGTGGAAAACAGTGATCGCAATATAGTGGCTTTTGAAATATACTCAGAAAAGCAAAAGCACGTGGGATATCCTAAAGGCATGATTTTAAAAAGGCCAGTATCAAAAGAAGGACAGCCTTGAAACATTGATTGTAGTAACAAAAACCCACTGAAGATAAATGGATTCTCTTCAGACAAATATACGAAAGGTACATTTCTCAGTATGTACCATTGGGTAATAAATATAAAAGAAAAGAGCATTTAAATCAGACAAATTAGAAACATCCTATATAAGATATAGGGAAGCAAATAATGCATGAAAAAAAATACAATTAGAGTGGCTAAACTAGAAAATGAGAAATTGATAGCTAAAGACTGCCAAGCCAACCCCAAAAATGTGGTGGTGTTTTTTGTTTTTACAAATTCCTTATTTTTCTTTGTGCATAGTATAACAAATGAGCTTGCTCTGCCACGACAGCATGGACAAGCACAGGATAAACAACATGGTGGAACAATATTATGGATTTGAGATAACCACACAATATTTTGTTTTTGGGAAAAGCTTAAATTTTGACAAGAGTATTGCACTGTAGTGTCAGCAACTTTTGCCGTCCTAGGTCAGTCTGGGCATTCAGCTATTATTCGAGGTATGCGGTGTAAAGACACTTAGCTAAATTAGTGGGTATGCTATTGGTGCTTCAAGTGTCATTGGAGCAACTGTAAGGTAAGGCAGAATGTAGCGTGATAAAAGAATAAAACATAAAATGATATGTCGTTGCATCATTAGTGTGCCTGGGGGATAGCCCCTGTGTCCTGTGCATGAGGGAGAGTTAATCAGTCGGCCTATACCCTCCTGAAAGGGACCCCAAACTCTGGATGGTGGGCAGTATGCAGTTTATGGCCCTGGCAGGTAAGTCAGTTACTGGGTAAGTTAAATTTAGGCATGTAATGTTAGGCTTAGTGTTGCCGATAGGTAGCGGCAATAACAGGAACTAGATGGGCCTGAGGAAAAGGGGGGCGGCTAGGGTGGAAGTTAAGGCGAACGGTCAGCTCCTGGTCTACTAGGAGGGCCGGAGTCCTTATGATCAGGGAGGTCATTGGTGTAACAACACAACATAAAGTAAACAAAAAGTATATTAACTTAGGCTATTGAACTAGGAAACAGTTAAAACAGTACCCTATGGGCCATGTGAGTTCCGATACAGATGGTAACAGGATCGTAAGTTTCCAGGGTTGCCCTTTGCGTGATGAATAGGGCACTCCTTGCCGGATCCCAGTGATGAGCCGCTTGGGGCGCTGTATGGTTCTCCAGCTGGATTAGTGAGTCTGGGGGTAGGCCCAAGTCTTGAAGTAATGCTGCTGTACCCTGAAGGTCTTTTATGGTGTGCATGTTGTTGTTCTTCTGAATAAGTAGTGTACTGGACAAGCACCATCAGTAGTGGATTCCATACTGACAGAGCAGGGAGGTAAGTGGTTTCATTGATCTTCGCCAAGCCAATGTGCTGCTTGAGAAATCAGCATAGAACGTTAGGGACATATTCTCAAATTAAAAGGGCGAGTTCTCCCTCAAGGCTGTGAGAACTGCCGTTTTGGCTCTTCCATTTTGGAAGGTGATGATTAGGTCTCTGGGGACCTCCACCGGCACCTTGGCAGGTTTGAGGATCCGAAAGATTCCGTCCAGGGTAATGGCCTTGGCCTGTCTCGGGGTGAGTAGGGCTGTTAACAAGCATCTTACGCAGTGTGGTAATTCAGCCTCTGAGACCTCCTCCGAAACCCCTCTGACTTTGAGGTTGTTTCGCCATCAGGTGTCCTCTTGAGCATCAAAGCGGCGATCATAAGACTGGGTCTGCTGCCTTAATTCCTGCACCTCCCGCTGGAGTGTGGCTATTTGCTGTGTGCTGGATTGAGAGGTGCTTTCAAGTGCTCCTATGTGGCTCGTTAGGCCCCGCAGATCACTGCGGACCACTGTAACATCTGCTAAGATATTCCTGTGCAGGTCCACAAGGAGGGCCTTTAGGACCATGGTTGTCACCAGGGAGGCATCCAGACCCAGTGGGGCCTTCAGCGCTGGAGCCAGAGCAGGTAAGAACTCCTTTTCTGCTTCTTCTGAGAACTCCACGAGAGGTCAGAGCAGCTGCCTGATAGCGTCGCCATCTTGGCCCCAGGAGCACCATGCGCATGCTTCCATATGTCTTCTATTGTCAGCTCGTAGGTAGGTTTGTCCACTTCGATTTTATTGATTTTCGTCCCCTTGGGATCCCCTAGTCCAGGTAATGAGGTGAGTTCTTAGTATAATTTGCTTTGTTCTTCTTGAGAAACCCGGAGCTGCAGGCTAGTGTGACCACTTGTTGCAGAGGTCTAGCTCTGCCCCCACAAATGTTTTTAAGTATATTAATTCTATTAAAAAATTTTTTAATAAAAGTGTAGCTACACTGAAAAAAAACACTACATAAATGGGAGGGAAGGATCAGTGCTTAGACTATCTAACTAGAGGAAGTAAAAATACTAGCAGCTAACCCAAAAAGTAGGGATCCCTCTTGTCCTACTAATAGACATAAAATACAGAAAAAAAAGGTAGATAACTAGTTTACACTGAAAACACTGTTGGTTAATCAAGACAAGTAAAATGCAGACATTTTAAATAACTTTTTTCTCACTATATATTGAAGAATCCTATTGAAAAAGATAAGCAAATGATTGCTGCTAAATACTTGCAGAAAAGTTGTGATTGGATGACTCAAGACAAGGTGCTACAGCAGCTAAAAAAAAGTTAATGTAAGCAAAGCTCCAGGACCTGACAGTATTCACCCACAAGTACTTAAGGAGTCAAGTGTGGAAATAAGTGACTCTCTGTATTTAATATTTCAATATTCTTTTCTTTTAGGAATTGTACCATGGGATTAGAGGAAGGCAGATGTGGATCCTGTATTCAAAAAGGGTTCAAAATCTTTGCCTGAAAATTATAGACCTATGAGGTTAACTTCTGTGGTTGGGAACATTTTTGAAGGATTATTAAGGGATACTATTCAGAAATTCATTGGCAATAATCAGCATGATTTTATGAAACATAGGTCATGTCAAACTAAGTTAATTGTATTCTATGAAGACGTAAGTAGAAGTATAGATCAGGGTGTTGCAGTGGATGCGGTTTACTTGGATTTTGCCAAGGAGTTTGATAATTCCTCACATTGGGTTAGTGTTCAAACTACAAGAAATTGGTCTAGATGAAAATTCTTGTTCTTGGGTAAAACATTGGCTTAAAGATAGAGTACAGAGAGTTCTCATTAATCGTAAATGTTCAAACTGAACAAAAGTGGTAAGTGATGTCCCTCAAGGAATGTCAATCAGCAGTGGCTAAGGCCAGTAAGGTATTGTCATGTATAAATAGGGACATTCATTTTTAGGATAAAGATATAAATGTTGCCACTTTATAAAATCACCTTGAATATGCAGTGCAATTTTGGGCACCTGTTATAAAGAAGGATATTATGGCACTAGAAAAAGTGCAGAGGTGGGCTACAAAATTGATAAAAGGAATGGAGCATTTTATTTAAGAAATGTTAACAAATTTAAATCTCTTTAGTTTACAAAAACGGAGCCTCAGAGAGGATATGTTAGAATTATACAAATAGGCGGGCAGAGCTAACCAGCTAGGTGCATTTCGCCTCAGCTCCTGCTGAATATCGCTTTAAGGCCAATTTTCCACACACCTGGGCCCTTGCAAACAGCTTACAAGGCACCAGTATTCCATGGGAAAGCACTCCCGAAAATCCTGAGGGCATATGGAGATGTTAGCATGTTTTTATCACAGCCATGTAGGCCCAAGATGGCGAAGTTATCTTGCCGCAGGAGCAGGGCACAACCAAGACCTGAACCTCCACGGGCTTCCAAAATTGATCATAACTCAATGGTGACAAGCCTCAAAGCCTTCTTCGCCTCAGAGATAGCAGTGCTGAGGGAGGACTTGGGCACGCTGACAGGACGTATAAGAGTCACAGAGGAAGATATCCACGATATACGGATCAAACAAGATTCAACAGCAGCGAAACTACTGGAAGTTACCAACACGTGTCTGCAGCTCAGTGCCAAAATCAGACAGCTAGAGGACAATGCACGTCAATTCAACCTGAAGGTGCAGGGGATACCTGACACCACTGACTCGGTGGAACTACCGCAATTCATATGGAGGCTGCTCTCCGCTACCTTACCACCTAAACAGGCAAAGGGACTATCTTTAGATGGACTCTACAGAATCCCAGGAAGGCCCAATACCAACATCTTGACACCCAAAGATGTAATTTTATGCTTTATATTAAGGTCTGATAAAGACATACACCTGAAGGCAGTCAACGCCATATATTTTTTAGGAACACTACGTTTTTCTAACTTGAGCCACCCAACGCCACAGTGGTGCTCATCAATTTTTTCCTAATTTGTTGCACAATTGGAAGCGCTTCAAACTTTTTTTTTTTTTTGCCTAGTAGAAACAGATGTTAGAAAGACTGAAGTTGACGCATGTCTCTTGTCAGCAATGTGGCTATGTAAATGTTAGCATTACATTGCTATATTCATGCAGCCGCATGAATACTGGAAAACTGCAGAAAGTGAGAGAAATCGGAGATGTTGCACCTAGAGGGGTATTAGATGTGCTGCAAACCTTGCTCTGATAACAGTCCCTTTCTGAGCTCCCTGTCTAAATCATCGACAGGAGCTACTAACTACTAGTCAACTTCTAAAGAAGTAATGGCTATTCATAAGGATAAAAACAGAAAGCAATGGAAAGTCTAGCTTATGGCCTATATTGATCATTTGGTTCAATAGTCCCATTGTTCAGCTGGATAAGAAAGGGAAGATATAGTGTTAATATATTATTGTTCCTGAGAATTTAGGATTCTCAAAACCCAGTAACATTGTAGCTCAAATGAACTGAGATTAAACACCCAAACTGATCAACAGCCAGCCCTGAAAATAAATCTCAGTCATTTAATTCAATCTTGTGTGTGATGTTGGTGTCCGAGTATGAGTGTCTGGGAGGCGTGTGTGTGAGTGTATGCTTTTGTATGCAGGTGTGCATGTGTGTCTCACTATTTTGGTAGCACCCATGAGGGATTTAATGTAGAATAATTGTTGTGGACAAAAATATTAACCCAATTCATGTTAATAAAATGCCTATTTACTCAGCATAACCACAATCAGCATTATTCAACCTAATATGTGGTTTACCTAAAATGGCCGCTAGGGAGTTTCTTCTTGACATCGACTAACAACACCCTCACTAACAAGATGGCGCTGGAGTCTGGGGGAGACCTCCAAGATACCAGTGACATTACACCCGGTAGGAAGAGCAATAAATGAACCACTTAACACCTAACCAATTATTGATGTATTATTCCATGTTATCTCTGACAATGCATATGATGTAATTTTGCTTTATAAGGGGCATGCCGTCCCCCCAGAATAAACATTCCTCAAGTTTTCATTAACCCGAAACCTGTGTCTGGTGTGATTTACTTCAGGAGCGTGCACGCATCTTTTTTAATTTGGCCGGGGGCAGATATGCAAGATAATCAATTAATTGATTGATTCCACATCAATAATAAACACCAGAAGTTGGGGGGTATTGTTAGTATACGGCAAATTGTAATTACTGGAGAAACGCAGCTTTCACAACATAGACTGAAGGGATCCAGGACAGTGCCTTTATTATTTATTAATTGGTGTATTGATATATTTGTTGAAAATAATCCTGCTAGAAGTGTCACATCTCCCTATCGCCCCAACAGAGCAGGAATATATATATATATATATATATATATATATATAAAAAAATAATGTTCTTTTAGGACTCTAAGCTCACCATTGGACGGTGTTCCTGGGATTTACAGTTTAACTATAATTGGAACACTTAGATATCCCATACATTTGTCTACCTGTAGTTAAAATTAGGATTAGATAATATTTGTTTTTCCGTTACTGGCCCATTCCTATCTCCATATGTGGTCAGGTACTGTGACATCATAAACACTCTGACATCATCTGATGAAACAATCAATGTCAAACAGTTTTTCTGTTACTAGCCCTTTCCTATCTCCATATATGGTCAAGTACTGTGACATCATAAACACTCTGACATCATCTGATGAAACAATGTCAAACTCACCTACAGTCAGAGTGACTGGACACCTTGACAGTGGACAGTGGCTACTGCATTGGTCAAGTGCTATTTTCAATAATTTATTAATTACTATTATCACTCACCTGATTGCTAAATATATTTGTGAATTGAACATCAATATATTTACACAGTATAATAAGAATGAAGAGATCAAGAAAGCGTTCTAATAAGGACACTTCTGAGGAATATAAAACCAAATATAGAAAGCTCAGTAACAGGTCAAAAGAAAAGGAAGAGCAGACATCTCTTGGACATTCCAGGAGAAAGAGAAGCAGGAGCTGCAATGAGCAGTATACTGAGAGAGGAAGAGAGCCCAATAAACATGTCATTGTGGAGGGACCCAGCAGATATCAGGGTCAAAAACGATTCAGGAACTCCAGTCATGATGAGGAGGAGCAGGTCATACAAAAAAGAGCCAAGCTCTCCTCATCTGCCAAACTGGGTCAGAATAGAGAGAGAAAGTCTGCTGGAAAAAGCGGTCAGATATCTCCACTCAAAAAACAAGCCCTGAAACGAAGCAGGGAATACAATCATGGGGAGCAGGTCATGCAGAAAAGACCAAAGCTCTCCTCATCTGCCAAACTGGGTCAGAAAAGTGAGAGAAAGTCTGCTGGAAAGATCGGTCAGACATCTCCACCCAGAAATAAAGCCCTGAAAAGAAGCAGGGACTATGATGATGACGAGGAACAAGTCAGGCAGAAAAAGGGAAAGGTCTCCTCTGGAAAGGAAGAGGAGAAAACAAACAAGCCAAAGGGCAACGATGAATGTATTACAGGTATGAAGAAAATACAAATTTTACAGAGATTTGCCACTATAAAGTATAAGATATTTTACCCTCAATTGACCACATACTCTGTACCCATTCACCATCTCTAATTAATCAATATTTTCAACACTTTAGCTACTACGAGTTCTCAGGCGATGGGGTTTTAAACTAAGTAATGGTATAGAGCAATATTTCAAGACCTTTGATAGATCTAGAATATTAATCCCTCCATTTTGGAATAGACAATGTTATTCTTAAGTGAATTTACCACAAACTAAAATGTCTTCTTAATGAAATTATCAATGATGTGATATTTATAAACCATATTATCGTTTCATATAACTGGGTGGGATGGGAAGATTTGTATAGCGGTTCTAGAGTAATAGAGAATTAAGCTGGTTCCAATGTTTATAATGAATTGGGGGCTAATGCTATATGTATTAAAATCTTTAAGGAAGAAGTACACAGCCAGTGGTTGAATCAAAGAAGCCACTGCCTCTGTCTGTCACTGGTTACCTAGTCCATAAAGTGCTGGGACAGGGGAGCTTCGGAAAGGTGAGCCTACTCAAACAATCTATACATCTTAATACATCTATTGATCTAGTGGAGAACAATTAGAAGTTCTTATTATCATTGTATTCCTATAACAATTCTTTGGGGTTTAATGTATTATTCATCTTTGGCACGTGTGTGATCCATGAATGAGTGACAATTTAATAGCATCTGCAAAGTATTTAGAAAATGTTATCGAGATTCCAAATAAAATACCCAGGACTTCTATTCTGTGATGTTTAACATGGCCTCTTAGATTAACAGGTTTATTAAAGCCTTAAGGACACAGCTTCAGAAGCTTTTCTTACGCTTAATGACACAAGCAATTTTTGCATTTTCTTGCTGTATGCGTTCAACTGCAATTTGCATCTCTCTCGTTTATTGCACCGACACATATTATATACTGTTTTTTAAAGGACAGAAAGGGCTTTAATTTGATGTAACACACACACATATATATATATATATATATATATATATATATATAAATAAATAAATGCTTATTTATTATTAAAACAATACAGAAAAAGGCACAAAAAATGTGTTTTTTGTACAGCTTTTGCAATAATAATGTGTGCCTAATTAGTGCAGGTTAAAGAAAGTAATTAAAAATAAATTCATTTAGTTGTTCTGATTTACAGAATATATAATGTGTCTGTAATTTTAAGTTTTCTTTGGTAGTTACAGGTCACAAAGCACAAGGAGTAAAATAAACTTTTAATGTGGAGCGATTTTAGAGTTTGGTATGTTTGTCTTGTAAACTTAATAGCCATAAAAGAAAACAAAATTGCCACACAAAAGTATTTATTGATATAAAGCAGACATCACAGGCTATTGTCCTAAGGATGTTTTGACACTTTCCATGTAGCCATTTCACCACCAATCTTTGCTAAATATTGGAGTAAAATTTAGTTTTTTGGGGTTTTTGGCACACAAACTTATAACAAAGAACTTCTCATGTGTATTTTGTAAAGTTGGTGTGTGCTATTCCTGTACAAAGTTTTATTTTGTGCTCAGTTACTCCTGCTGAGTACAACGATACCCCCATTGTATTTCTTTGGCACTATTTCGCGTAGCTACAATGACATATAGGAGACCTGTCCGTTTCAACATTTACAGTAGAATTTTGAGAGGCAGATTTAATGGGCCTATGCTTCAATTTGGGGTATTATAGCAGTTTTACTGTTCAAAAAAAAACCCCACAAAGGCCTACCATTTGTAAAAGTAGACACTCCAGGGTATCTCATATGGTGCATATTGTGCCTTAACACGCCCCCATTTTTTCACCAATATATGCCAAAGTATGTGGTAAAAAATAATTTTGGGCATTTTTTTACATACGGATTACATTTTTGCTGGGCATTTTGTACATTTCATATGTGCCACTAACCAAACCCCCCAAATTATGCTCAGCTAAGTCTTCTGAGTAAAACAATATGCCCAATGTATGACCTAGACACTATTTTGTGAAGTTACACTGCTGTAAAAGAGACGTGAAAAGTTAAGGTTTTTAAGTGTGAATTTCCATGGAGGGTTTTGATGCGTCCGTGTCCCACTTTGGAGCACTTGAGCAGGCTACATATTACAACTACACCATAAAGGCATACCATTTCTTAAAGAACACATCTCAGGGTATTTCAAAAGGCATATTTTGAACCTTAGCGTGGGATAATTTTTCCGCTAGCTTGTACCAAGTGTAGTGGTAATAAGCTTTGTTTTCCTTTTTGACACACAAAGTGAGTTTGCACAGTATATTTTGCAAATCATACGCGTGCTACCACTGTACAATACTTCATATGTTGCTCAGCTATGTCGGCTGAGTACAGCAATACCCCTGTATGTACCTTTGCCTGGTATATGTGGACATCGGAGGGGCACATTTGGGACACAGCCATTCCAGTTCTTTTCAAACTGAATTTTTAAGCTGTGTCCATGTCCCATTTTAGAGTATTTTACAAAGCTATATAATCCAATTACCCCAAAAAGGCATGCCATTTCTTAAAGAAGACATCCCAGGGCAATTCAAAAGGCCTATTTTGAACCTTGGCGTGGGATAATTTTTCCGCTAGCTTGTACCAAGTGTAGTGGTAATGAGCCTTTTTTAATGTATTTTTTTTACTTTGTAAAACCCGTTTTTAAACTTTTTTTTTACTTATTAAATGTTTTACACTTTTAAATTTTTTTCTAAACTTTTCTTTTACCGTTAACCTCTAACTAGCAGTAAGCAGCACTAACAGTAAATTCCCCCCTTTCCCATAACTCCCACCCACTCCAGCTAGCAATATATATATATATATATATAAAAATATTTAAATTAATTAAATAAATTGAACCCCTGAGGGTTAAAAAGTAAATAAAAGTTAATCCTCAGGGGTTAAAATAAATTAGATTACAGTATAATACTGTGATCTGTATTTTGATCACTGTAGGCAGTGATCAGCTGGCAGGGAACGGGTTAATTTTTATTTAGACTGGGTAAAGGGGATGGTATTGTCTTCTTTTTTTTTTTTTTACTTAAACGTTACTAAAACATTTTTTTTAAACTTTTACCTTTTTAAAGCTTATTTTAAAACTTTTTTTTACTAGTTAGCCTAACACCAAATTCCCCACTAACGTCCACCCATCCCAGCTAGCTAAATATATAATTTTTAAATATTTTAATTAATAAACTAAATTTAACACCTGAGTGTTAAAAAAAAATAAAAAAAATTCAGATGACATTAAAATGTATACCCTGCCAATTGATCACTGTATTGATCAATTGGCAGGGAAGGGGTTAATTTTATTAAAGCAGGGGAAAGGGGGGGGGGGGGATTTAAATTTTTTTTTTTTACAGAGGGAGAAGAGGATCAGCTCTGATCCGTCTCCCTGCACTTCACCCGGAAGTGCAGGGAGGCGGAAAGTAAGTACACTGAGCACATGTGCTCGCTCTGACAGCCTGTCAGAGCGAGCACCAGTGCTGGGGCAGCCCAATCGGACCGTAGCACCGTTAACCCCGCGATCGCCGCGATCTGGGGTTAACATTAGTAAATGACGGAAATTTTTCGTCAACGGTCCTTAACTGAAGGACAAGGTTGACGGAAAATTTCCATCTGCAGTGGGAAGGGGTTAAATCTTCCTGTCTTTCTTAAAAATTTTATCATTCACAGGAGAATACCAAACATGGGTCTCAATGTACTAATTTTGCATGAGCTTTGCAAATTATCACAATATCTTAGGAAAAAACCAACAACAAATGATTAATTGTAGCGGAGTAGCAGGGGTTAATCCAAGAGCTCTGCGCTGGGAACAACGTTTCAGCATTCAAGAATACAGGAACACAGCATAATCACCCTCCCCAAGGACTAGACGACACATAGTCTGGGAGTCAACTGAGGTCTTTATTCACAGTTCTGCTTTTATGCATTTGTCCCATGCAAGGGAGGTAACTTCCATAATTATTACAGTATCCAATCACATAGTGGTTACCTCCCCCACATCTCCTCCCCTTAGATTAACAGTTAAGCTTATTAATAAGTACACAGTTTTCCCCAATTCGTGGATGTACCCTAAATACAGGGGGTACACCTTTGAATGAGGGGTGCCCCGGTAGCCCTGATCTGGGTGGGCAACATACTCAAAATTCACCCAGATCGGACCAGGGGTTCGGGAGTTATTGCAGGAGGAAGATTTGACCGACCGCACGGGAACAGTAGCCGAAAATAGTTCCATGCATTCTGGCCCTGCGGCCAGTCTCTTTTCGTGAATAAAAAGTCTCGAAAGTCCTTGGCATCCAGCCTTAACTTGTCATTCGGATGAATCCCCTAGTTTGTGGGATTCCGCATACCGAATGTTGGGCGGTTCGGGTGGTTCATTCGTCACTTTTAGGCGTGCTGGAGGTCTTCGCGGTACTTGGTTAGTCGAATGCCCGATTTGGGTTCCAGGCATTCGACGACCAAGTACCGCTGTTCGTGCGTAAGATGGCCACCGCCACGTGTTCGGTAGGCGAAATGGCGGCCGCACACAAACTCTCAATTAGCACCCTTTGCAACATTGTTGCCTTCGGTAATGAGGGACACACGACCACACCGGGGTGGTCCCTCATTCGGTAGTTTACCGGTGTTCGCATAAACCGCAGTGTAGGTAGTTTGTGAACCGAGTCTCTGGTAATTACTGCCTTAGCAAGCATACGGCCATTATAATCCAAGTTTATTCACATAGAAAAGGTTCTTGTCAGTTCTTTAGTGGCACGGTTTGCCACATTAATCTACAGATTTCATCATTAAGTTCGCTTGAAATTTGTTGCCTGTAAATAATTTATAAAGTTAGTTTTTCTAGCAGAATATCATCATATGAAAATTGTGGCCTTCGTTAGGTTCTCAAAACATATATATGCAGGCATAGACTGGCCATCAAGGAAACAGGGCAAATGCCCAGTGGGCTGCGATAGCCATGGCAGAGGCTGACAGGGGAGAACTTTATGGTGCTGCCTGTGTGTAGGCCCATAAAGGGAGCTATGTGGCTGTTGGGGAGATCAAAGATCTCCCTCACCAGCCTACACAGGCATGCCAGCCTGATAACTAGCACAGTGCGGGCCTGGTGCACATGGGCTACATCCGCCAGGGGTGTAGACCAGATATTTCACCCACTGGACCATTCAGAAAAGTATTCTTCCCCAGCTACCCCTCCTGCCAAGGATCAAGGTAAAGAAGAGAAATAGTGGATTTTTTGTAAAAAAAGTTATAATAAAAACCAATAACTTAATTTGAAATGTAAGGTTAAATAAATGAAGAAGAGTAATCTGTCCCAGTACTATCATAGAAAGGGTCAATAAAATCCTTTATTAATTAAACTAAAAACACACACGCACAGATGCTTAATCACTAGTCACTTCCGCCACCATTATAGTTAATTTGGGCAGAATATGTGACAAGATCTAAATACGCTAAGTGAGGAATATATACAAAAAGGAAGGGAGTGAAATTTAACAAATAAATAAATGGACAAAATAAGGGCAGAAACCCAGGAGGGGGTTAAGCAGATACTCCCCCGAAGCAGTAGTTGCACACTGCACGCAACACAGTTGCAATTGACTAGCTAGATTACTAGATTGTAATCTATTTGGATCCTCAAATAAATTATAATAAACACAATGTTAGCAAAACAAAGAAGATACTAAATGAGGGTATACAAAACTAATGCTACGTGCTGTATTAGCAAGATAGCATAAATATGCTCATTGCTGATAAATAGCAACAGCTAACAAGGTTAATGCCCCCTCCCCCCCAAAACAAAGACCAGATGCAACACCATGCTCTGAAAACGCAAATAAAGACTGAAATGCATATAAGTCTGTAGCAATATCTCAATCTATGAGTATATAATGAAAATTAGCTGACACATCTAGGAACATAGCCATGGATAAGGCACAATCTCCGTAGATTTCCTGATCTCTGCCTTCAAGGGCACCTGTCTCTCAGTAATAGATAGTTAACTGGCTAACTGCTCTATGAGATAGCTGGATAGACGGTTAGCACTGAGATATACTTGTTATGGTAAAGGTAACAACTACACTAATCTGTGCCTTCGTGGGCACCTATCAATGACTAGTGAGAAAGAGCTAAACTGGTACACTGAACTGGTAGACTAATCTATTACAAAAGATCTAGTAAGATAGTCCGTAGAAATGTCCTGGGTGTAGCGATATAAATCAAGAATATACATGTAAAGTAGCAAGAGAAATGTAAATATTTGCACCGAACAGGACCAAGTATCAGGAGCCCCGACGCGCGTTTCGCCGAACAAAGTCTCATCAGGGGGAACTGACTCCCCAGACAAGGTGAGTTTAAATAACCCGCCCATAGTCCTCATTGGACCAACCGCAAGTGTGAGGTCATCACCTATCATTACGGACTACGGTAGCTCAGCACGATCAACAGTGTGAAACGTGCATTTCATGGGAGTCCACGTAGTCGTTATGTTTTCATACACTCCATTGCAACAGTCATTGAAGACTTCATACTAGGGTAAAACTAATACATGTACACTGGTCATATTAAGAATAATGATGTTCAAATAAATATAGGTACTAGAAACTATATTGTGAACATATGTTAGAGTGACTCGTTAGGATGTTAACAGGGATGAATCCCAGTGTCCAAATAAAGAATAGAATAACTTACCGAAATGTGAGTTTCTGACCAAAGTGTAATGATGTAGAGAGGAGAAGCTCATTCCGATATTAGTGTATATGCAATGAGTGTAGTTGATGAATAATTCATATTAATCAAATGTCATAGCAGTTTTATAGTCTGTCGCCTAAGCGGAAATAGAGTTGTTAGAGTGAGTTAATAGATAGTTATATTAACTACAAAGATCATATCATCATAATAAGTGCTGATCAAATTAAAAGGTAATCTATAATCAGATAAAGTGCTTATTTTCAATGAATAAATGCAGTATAATTAAATTCTTCATTCAGTTCCAATGGGACCTGTTACAAACTGTCATTTGTAACTGTTATTTTATTTGACAAATTGCCCTGCTTCCCTGTGTTATGGAGAAGCCTAATTGCCAGCCTTCTGCCCCATGACTATGGACCTAGTGTGTATGGCGATTTGATTGTATTTGTGGGATCTGAGCGCTCTTTGGATATATTGAGCGCTCAGATCCAAGCCATCTGGGGATAGGTTGAATGTGGGGGTTCTGTTCAGTTCAATAGGAGTTATGTATTTTTGTGTCTTTTTGTGTCTTTTGCTAACATGTGGTTACTGGAGTCTGCCTCTATCCCTGGATAATTGGATTACTTTCCCCATTGTCCAGGATAGAGGCCTCTGTAAAACCGGTTTGGGCCAGAAAACCATGCTGCCAGCCAGGCCCCAAAAGACACTTTTGCTAACTTTTGAACCCCTTGTCTGATTTGTGCCATTTTTTAATATGTTGCTCCCCTGAATGGATTGATTCTAAATATGTAATTTTATGAAGATTGTATGTGTAGTTTGAAAGTTATAGTACATGTATAAAAACTGTATTTTTACTGCCTGTGTTTAATTATGTCAACCCATTGTGTGCCATAATTAGATCACAGGCAGAGGGGAGGATTTTTGTGTGTAATTGCTGGGAGTGTTTCTGTAATGTACGTTTATGATTGGTTATTCTGTAAACCCCTGTGGGTGGTCCTATCTCAGGGAAACCTGCATAAAAGAAGGCCCTTTGGTGCCAAGTAAACAGATCTTCTTAACCCTCAATACGTAGCCTTGTCTCGTTATTGGAGGGAACTGCTATATCACACTGGGGATTGCTATGCTCTGCATACTCCCTTGAGCTTTTAATCACTTAGCTCTTTTAAGAGCTGTTCCTGTTACGCTCTCCTGGAGGAGAGGTCTTCCCCACACGGTCCTGGAGGACAGAAGCTGATCCAGGGTGGAAGGAAGACGGCGAGACTCCAGTTAAGCTACGGCGGTTGTGGAGTCTGTGGTGGTTGTGGTATCGGCTGCAGTGTTTGGAGTCCTCAGGAAGCGCTAGGAGCATCCATCAACGGAGGGTATTCGGTCGGATTACAGGGAGCTCCGTTACATTGGTGGCAGCGGTGGGATGGCGTCCTAGTGCGAGGAGAAACAGCTCGGAGACACCGGAATCATTACGGAGCGATATGGAGCCAGCAAGTCCCTGGACAGCGCTCAAAGTGGAGGATGAGTTCGACTGGAGGTTACAGAGCCTCTTGGCCTCAGTGGGTGAGCCAGTATCAGAGGCAACCAGGTTGGACTGCAGAGAGGGCGCCAGGAAAGAGATGTGGGACGAAGCCCTGGAGGGTGTCCAGCATTGGCGAGGTGAGCGTCTCCCCAGCGAGGAGCAGCGACTACAGGCCCGAGTGGCCCTATGGATGCCTATGATGGGAGAACAGCCCAGGTGGGAGTTGGTAATGCAGCTTAATTCTCTGGCATGGAAGGAACTGGGGCTTGAAGATGCATACCAGGCACTACATTGGTATGCAGTTCAGCGTGTTCCCGGGATGGCTAAGTGCGACAGACCAGAGGGCGAGGATTACAATGGCCCTGGCGTATTATGGTACGCCTGTACCGGACCAAGGTTCGGGAATGCTGCAGAGTCACGGCTATGGGACATATATGAATCCAGAGAAACCATTCTAGATCTCCCTATGGATGAAGACCTAGAGCCAGACCTGTTTGAATTGGCCATCCAGGAATGGGAACTGGAACAGGATTACCAGTGCCTACTCAGCTCCAGTCAGTCCCAGTATACCTTGGAGGTACCACCAGGGCAGTGCAAGTTACAGGGAGCCGAAGGTGTCGTCCTTCCTCCACAGCGGCAGTGCAAGTTACAGGGAGCCGAAGGTGTCGTCATTCCTCCCCAGCGGCAGTGCGAATTCCAGGGGGCCGAAGGTGTCGTCCTTCCCCCCCAGCAGCAGTGTGTCCTACAGGGAGCAGAGACAGTTGGTCTCTCTCTCCAGCAGCAGGACAATGTTATGGGAGTGGAGACAGGCGGTCTCCCTCTCCAGCTGCAGCCTGTGTTTCAGGGAGAGGAGCACAGCACCCTATTTCCCCAGCGGCAGCTTACCCTACCAAGGGGAGACACCAATCTCCCAGATGGCGCAGATGGGACCGTGGTCTCTGTGCCTGACCTACAGGGATGCTGGACAGCCTGTCCAGATCCCCAACTACCCTCACAGGGACAACAGGAAGAGGGGGTAAGTACGAATTCCCCTCCCCAGCTAACTCCTAACTTGGCCCCAGGGTTAACAGGGGAGATGTTAACCCCCACTGACCCCCACGTTCCCCTGGCCACTGAGCCGGACTATGTCCCAAGCCCCCCAGCGGAAGAGCTGGCAGCTGGGCAGAGTGCAGTCGGCCTCTGCCCTCCCTTTGTCCCTTGTCCAGAGCCTGATGTCCTGCAGGCTATACCAGCGGAAGAGCTGGCAGCTGGGCAGAGTGCAGTCAGCCTCTGCCCTCCCTTTGTCCATTGTCCAGAGCCTGATGTCCTGCAGGCTATACCAGCGGAAGAGCTGGCAGCTGGGCAGAGTGCAGTCGGCCTCTGCCCTCCCTGTGTCCCTTGTACAGAGCGTGACATTCTGCCGGCTACCCCAGCGGAAGAGCTGACATCAGGGCAGAGCGCCGCTGGCCTCTGCCCTACCGACCCCCTTGTTACAGGACTGGTCTGCAACCCCCTCTCCCCAGCAGAAGTGCGGGCATCAGGGCAGAGCGCCGCTGGCTTCTGCCCCCCAAGTACCACCAGCTTTTTGCCCAGCTGCACCAGGAAGGCAGAGGATGCTGCATTTTCATCCTACAACCTGGAACCTACAGGCCAGTACTGTTTATTGTGGGGGGGCTACTTTGCTACTTGTTATTTGTGGGTGGGCTGCGAGACTAACTTAGGCACTGACCTACAGGAGGTCAGGTGCCTGGTTAGTCTCCCTCCAAAAGGGGAGATATGTTACAAACTGTCATTTGTAACTGTTATTTTATTTGACAAATTGCCCTGCTTCCCTGTGTTATGGAGAAGCCTAATTGCCAGCCTTCTGCCCCATGACTATGATTCAGTGTGGCCTTAGCGATTTGGCTTTATTTGTGGCAGGATCATGTTCGTGTCATATCAAGTAGTCTGTGGATGGTGTTATCAGATAAGTTATTCTGAACCAATGCGATTTGTGCCATTTTTTAATATGTTGCTCCCCTTAATGGATTGATTCCAAATATGTAATTTTTATGAAGATTGGATGTGTAGTTTGGAAGTTATAGTACATGTATAAAAACTGTATTTTTACTGCCTGTGTTTAATTATGTTAACCCATTGTGTGCCATAATTAGATCACAGGTAGAGGGGAGGATTTTTGTGTGTAATTGCTGGGAGTGTTTCTGTAATGTACGTTTATGATTGGTTATTCTGTAAACCCCTGTGGGTGGTCCTATCTCAGGGAAACCTGCATAAAAGAAGGCCCTTTGGTGCCAAGTAAACAGATCTTCTTGACCCTCAATACGTAGCCTTGTCTCGTTATTGGAGGGAACTGCTATATCACACTGGGGATTGCTATGCTCTGCATACTCCCCTGAGCTTTTAATCATTTAGCTCTTTTAAGAGCTGTTCCTGTTACGCTCTCCTGGAGGAGAGGTCTTCCCCACACGGTCCTGGAGGACAGAAGCTGGTCCAGGGTGGAAGGAAGACGGCGAGACTACAGTTAAGCTACGGCGGTTGTGGAGTCTGCGGTGGTTGTGGTGTCTGCTGCAGTGTTTGGAGTCCTCAGGAAGCGCTAGGAGCATCCATCAACGGAGGGTACTCGGTCGGAGTACAGGGAGCTCCGTTACATTGGTGGCAGCGGTGGGATGGCGTCCTAGTGCGAGGAGAAACAGCTCAGAGACACCGGAATCATTACGGAGCGATATGGAGCCAGCAAGTCCCTGGACAGCGCTCAAAGTGGAGGATGAGTTCGACTGGAGGTTACAGAGCCTCTTGGCCTCAGTGGGTGAGCCAGTATCAGAGGCAACCAGGTTGGACTGCAGAGAGGGCGCCAGGAAAGAGATGTGGGACGAAGCCCTGGAGGGTGTCCAGCATTGGCGAGGTGAGCGTCTCCCCAGCGAGGAGCAGCGACTACAGGCCCGAGTGGCCCTATGGATGCCTATGATGGGAGAACAGCCCAGGTGGGAGTTGGTAATGCAGCTTAATTCTCTGGCATGGAAGGAACTGGGGCTCGAAGATGCATACCAGGCACTACATTGGTATGCAGTTCAGCGTGTTCCCGGGATGGCTAAGTGCGACAGACCAGAGGGCGAGGATTACAATGGCCCTGGCGTATTATGGTACGCCTGTACCGGACCAAGGTTCGGGGATGCTGCAGAGTCACGGCTATGGGACATATATGAATCCAGAGAAACCATTCTAGATCTCCCTTTGGATGAAGACCTAGAGCCAGACCTGTTTGAATTGGCCATCCAGGAATGGGAACTGGAACAGGATTACCAGTGCCTACTCAGCTCCAGTCAGTCCCAGTATACCTTGGAGGTACCACCAGGGCAGTGCAAGTTACAGGGAGCCGTAGGTGTCGTCCTTCCTCCCCAGCGGCAGTGCAAGTTACAGGGAGCCGAAGGTGTCGTCCTTCCTCCCCAGTGGCAGTGTGAATTCCAGGGGGCCGAAGGTGTCGTCCTTCCCCCCCAGCAGCAGTGTGTCCTACAGGGAGCAGAGACAGTTGGTCTCTCTCTCCAGCAGCAGGACAATGTTATGGGAGTGGAGACAGGCGGTCTCCCTCTCCAGCGGCAGCCTGTGTTTCAGGGAGAGGAGCACAGCACCCTATCTCCCAGCGGCAGCTTACCCTACCAAGGGGAGACACCAATCTCCCAGATGGCGCAGATGGGACCGTGGTCTCTGTGCCTGACCTACAGGGATGCTGGACAGCCTGTCCAGATCCCCAACTACCCTCACAGGGACAACAGGAAGAGGGGGTAAGTACGAATTCCCCTCCCCAGCTAACTCCTAACTTGGCCCCAGGGTTAACAGAGGAGATGTTAACCCCCACTGACTCCCATGTTCCCCTGGCTACTGAGCCGGACTATGTTCCCAGCACCCCAGCGGAAGAGCTGGCAGCTGGGCAGAGTGCAGTCGGCCTCTGCCCTCCCTTTGTCCCTTGTCCAGAGCCTGATGTCCTGCAGGCTATACCAGCGGAAGAGCTGGCAGCTGGGCAGAGTGCAGTCAGCCTCTGCCCTCCCTTTGTCCCTTGTCCAGAGCCTGATGTCCTGCAGGCTATACCAGCGGAAGAGCTGGCAGCTGGGCAGAGTGCAGTCGGCCTCTGCCCTCCCTGTGTCCCTTGTACAGAGCGTGACATTCTGCCGGCTACCCCAGCGGAAGAGCTGACATCAGGGCAGAGCGCCGCTGGCCTCTGCCCTACCGACCCCTTTGTTACAGGACTGGTCTGCAACCCCCTCCCCCCAGCAGAAGTGCGGGCATCAGGGCAGAGCGCCGCTGGCCTCTGCCCCCCAAGTACCACCAGCTATTTGCCCAGCTGCACCAGGAAGGCAGAGGATGCTGCATTTTCATCCTACAACCTGGAACCTACAGGCCAGTACTGTTTATTGTGGGGGGGCTACTTTGCTACTTGTTATTTGTGGGTGGGCTGCGAGACTAACTTAGGCACTGACCTACAGGAGGTCAGGTGCCTGGTTAGTCTCCCTCCAAAAGGGGAGATATGTTACAAACTGTCATTTGTAACTGTTATTTTATTTGACAAATTGCCCTGCTTCCCTGTGTTATGGAGAAGCCTAATTGCCAGCCTTCTGCCCCATGACTATGGACCTAGTGTGTATGGCGATTTGACTGTATTTGTGGGATCTGAGCGCTGTTTGGATATATTGAGCGCTCAGATCCAAGCCATCTGGGGATAGGTTGAATGTGGGGGTTCTGTTCAGTTCAATAGGAGTTATGTATTTTTGTGTCTTTTTGTGTCTTTTGCTAACATGTGGTTAATGGAGTCTGCCTCTGTCCCTGGATAATTGGATTACTTTCCCCATTGTCCAGGATAGAGGCCTCTGTAAAACCGGTTTGGGCCAGAAAACCATGCTGCCAGCCAGGCCCCAAAAGACACTTTTGCTAACTTTTGAACCCCTTGTCTGATTTGTGCCATTTTTTAATATGTTGCTCCCCTGAATGGATTGATTCTAAATATGTAATTTTATGAAGATTGTATGTGTAGTTTGAAAGTTATAGTACATGTATAAAAACTGTATTTTTACTGCCTGTGTTTAATTATGTTAACCCATTGTGTGCCATAATTAGATCACAGGCAGAGGGGAGGATTTTTGTGTGTAATTGCTGGGAGTGTTTCTGTAATGTACGTTTATGATTGGTTATTCTGTAAACCCCTGTGGGTGGTCCTATCTCAGGGAAACCTGCATAAAAGAAGGCCCTTTGGTGCCAAGTAAACAGATCTTCTTGACCCTCAATACGTAGCCTTGTCTCGTTATTGGAGGGAACTGCTATATCACACTGGGGATTGCTATGCTCTGCATATTCCCCTGAGCTTTTAATCACTTAGCTCTTTTAAGAGCTGTTCCTGTTATGTTCTCCTGGAGGAGAGGTCTCCCCCACACGGTCCTGGAGGACAGAAGCTGATCCAGGGTGGAAGGAAGACGGCGAGACTCCAGTTAAGCTACGGCGGTTGTGGAGTCTGCGGTGGTTGTGGTGTCTGCTGCAGTGTTTGGAGTCCTCAGGAAGCACTAGGAGCATCCATCAACGGAGGGTACTCGGTCGGAGTACAGGGAGCTCCGTTACAGGACCAATGTCTTAAAGGAATAAATCCATTTGGATTCCTTTTGCAACAAAATTCTGTTGAAATTGCCTTTTCTTGGGTTGGGCAATGTAACGGACCGTTTTGCACACAAGAGGTTAAAACCGTTTAGGCGATCGTCCCCTTTCAGAGATGCAGGCACAGCTACTGTAGAACACCAAACTCCCGAACCGCAAATAAGGGAATGCTCTAAACGCCCGAACGGCATCCAATATAGCACTCCAAACTCACAAACTGGAACCATACGAATAGCTGCTAGCAGACGAATAGGAAAAGCACCCAAGCAGCTTAAACTTCTAGCAATCAGTCTCTATCAGCATTCAGTAAATCCCCCCAAAGACGAGACAGAGCTCCTTGTTGAGGGTCAAGCGGTGGTCTATTTAATGAGGGCTACCTGCCCAGTATTTATGCAGGTCTCCCACCTGGTGGACACTCCCCTAGGGGACCAAATGGGAGACTGGGACAAAAGACAGAATCAGCAAAATAGGACACACAGTCACATTATATTCCCACAATGCATCCTGGCTTCCTCCCCTCTGCCCTCTGCCCTGAGAAGTAATTCAATTATCTCCCAGGACAAAGGCAAATCGCCATTATGCACGTGGGGATACTAAAATAAGAATTACTATTAAAATACACAATGTGACACAAGTTACAATAAAACTATACATTTAACATATCCCCAGATAGCTCAGGTCTGAGCGCACATTATTAAGCGAATGGCGCTCAGACCACACGAATACAGTTTAATCGCCATGGGATTCCTATCTGGGGTACAGTGCAGTCAGGTACAACTACCGAATACCGGGCCGTTCATGCACTTCCACCGAACAAGAAGGGAGGTCGGCGGCTTCAGCGGTGTTCGCGCCAAACTGTGTCTGTTTTTAGTTCCATGAGTTAGGCGTCGAACACCGCTGTGCGTTCGTGTGTTTAAAATGGCCACGACCTTGTGTTCGGTATACGAATGGCGGCCACCCAGTATTCGTCAATTGCGGTTAACCGCAGCTTCTGGGAGGCTAATTGCCGGCACACTCCAGCTCCCAGGTGGTCTAGTCATTCGTGCGGTTGTTCGGTAGATTGAATCTACCGAACACCGGGCAGAAAAGCACAAATAAGTATTTTCTGCAGGGGAAACAAAGTCTTTTAACATGGGGCCATAATCCAAAGGCAGCAGGCGAGCAACCAGGCTTCTCCAATGCAATGTGGCGAGGTTGATCTCGTCACAGGCAATAATCTTTCTATTGCCTGGAATCTTAGATTTTCTGATTTGCCTTCATGGAAATTGTTGATGTGTCTAGCCACCGGTGTGGGGGTGATGGTGTTATTTATATATGTTATATGTTGTAAAATTCTCCTACGGAACTGCTGCAACATCTTACGAATGTATTGGATGCCACAACTACACGTTATAAGATAAATGACACGTGTAGTGCTGCAATTCACCAGGACATTAGTAGCTACACTGATTTCGGATTGTGTTGATTGGACAGTCTTAGAAGGTGTAATATACTGGCATGCCTTGCAGTGTCCACACCTATATGTTCCTTTTGTGCTTGATAGCCAATTGCTGGGTGGAGAAGGTAATGTTAGGTGACTGTGGACAAGTAGGTCCTGTAGATTGGTAGGTCTGCGTGCTGTGAGAGGTGGATGGTTAGGTAAGATATTTTTGAGAAATGGATTATGGAGTAGTATTGGCCAATTGTTGTGGAGTATGTGCGACAGTGTTCCAGCTTTGATCAAAAGTGGCAATACACCTTGGGGTCCTCGAATCCAGCCTGCTTTAGAACACGGTTAGGATACCCTAATTCCTTGAATCTAGACCTTAAGAGTTGGCATTCTTTGTAGAAAGTAGAATCTTCGGAACAATTTCTTCTCGCCCATAAGTATTGGCTAAATGGAATAGATGCTTTTAATCTATAGGGATGATGGCTTCCCCAATGAAGGAGACTATTAGTCTAGGTAGATGTCCGAAATAATTTGGTTTGGATAGTGCCATCTTGTGTTAGTAAGATTTTTAGGTCTAGAAACACGAGTTCGTGTTCGTCGATCACATACGTTAGTTTTACATTTATCTCGTTGTCATTAAGGACATGAACGAATTCCTCAAACATCTGAGTGGGACCTGTCCATAAGAGCAGCACGTCGTCAATGTATCTGTGCCAGCTCAAAATGTAGCCGTGAAAACAGTCAAATTTGGCTGATGTGACGACATGCTGCTCCCACCATCCCAGAAACAAATTGGCGTATGTGGGTGCGCACGTAGTACCCATACCCATCCCCGAAATTTGTAAATAGTACTGGCCGTTAAAGGTGAAATAATTGTGGGTCAGTATAAAATGTAGGGCAGCAATAATAATCTTTTTCTGAGAATCATTATAAGAAGTATTCTCCAAAAAATATTTTCATGCTCTAAGCCCCATTTGATGGGGTATGTTAGTATAAAGATCAACCACATCCAGGCTGGCCAACATTGTGTATGGAGGGACTGTCTTGTCTTGTAGGAATTGCAGGGTTGTTTTGGTATCCTGGAGATAAGAGGGTAACGTTAATATAATTGGATGTAAAATGTTATCAATAAATTGGCTAAGGCGTTCAGTTTAGCAATTGTTCCCGGACACTATGGATCTCACAGGTGGAGGACGGGTACCCTTGTGTACTTTTGGTAAACAATAAAATGTAGCAATTGTCGGATTTTTGTGGGGTAAGAGAAATTTAAATTCGTCTGGAGTTATAACCTTGTGTGTCTTAGCTTCCGTTAGTAGAATGTCTAGTTCACTTAGGAACTGAGTGGTGGGGTCCGAGGGAAGAATCCTATAACATAAATTATCATCCAGGTGGGCCATGCACATATTAATGTACTCTTGTCTATTTAAAAGGACAATATTGCCACCTTTGTCCGCTGGCTTGATAATTATGTTGTCAAGTGATTTCAGTTCTTTTAGTGCTAAACGCTCCTGAAAACTCAAATTGTTAGGAGTGGGGGCGTAGCTAGCCATCATCTCAAATTGGTTTAAGGACATTTCTACGAAAAGGTCTACGTGAGGTTTATCGTTAAAATTAGGTGTAAAACAACTTGACGGTTTAAAGTTTGTAAGTGGTCTTAGGGGGTCCTGTTCGTCCTGAGGACTTGTCAATATTTTGGAGAGCTCATAATCGTTAGGGGAAAGACCTAGATCGTTTGCCTGCTGCTGGTCTTTTTAAGCATGCATAATGTTTAGAACTAGTTTCGTGCCAAATAAATGTAGGTCTTTTGACCAGTTAAATTTACTGCAGTTAGGGGTATGTACAAAAGAGAGTCCTCTACTAAGGAGGGTAATATGACGTGTTTGCAATGAAAAGTCTGACAAATTAATAATTCTATTGCTGGCTATGTCCTCTGTGTTCTGTAAGCCCAACGATCTCTGTCCCTGAGTCTCCCCCGTTGTTGGCGGGGGTAGTCCTGCTCTAAAAAAGTAGCTGATGGTGTAGTGGACAGAGTCGAAGAGTTATTAGTCTCCAGGGGGATTGGTATATCCAAGAATGACACAGATTTATCAGTGTTCCTGAGAATACTTTTCTTCTGATAAGGTTGGGCACTAAGGTCCCTTTTACGGTCAGTACTCCTATTAGAAAGATCTACGTCTGGGTCTGGAGGGTTGATCTTGGTCTGACCAATCAGTCTCACCAGAGAAAGATCCTCTGTGATTACTCTGTCTTCTTTTAAATTTTCTCTTTTGTCTGAAAATCTCCCCTTTAAAGTCCTGTTGAAATGTATTATGTTTTTTGATCTTTAAATGTTGTCTGAAACTTGTAATATTTTTCTGTAACTTATTTTCCATGGGTATGTAAAGACTGTTGGACTTAAAGTTTTTTATTTGTGTGATTTCATTTTGCAATTTTTGATTGGTTTCGTCAAAGTTAGTGGTTTCTAATTTAATCAGAAAATCCATCAACCAAAAAGAACAGACCAATAAAATCGTGTTCCATTCACTGAGCTGTTCCTCAGTTTGAATTTTATCTGGCAAGAGAATGTCCGGGTGTATGCCCCTAGGCACTAGTTTTTGTTGTGAATATTGTTTAAGACTAGTCAGCTCCCAGAAACTCCTGATTTGTTCCTGGTATATTTTTTGAATAGCAAAAAGAGCAATGTTAATATCATTACTTATAGTATCATTGGTGGATAGTGAATTAATGGAGAAAACATTTGTAATCTCATCCTGGCTTAAATTGGGACCACCCAATTTTTCCAACAGGTCAGTCATGGGGTAAAAGCACTTTATAAATTAGGGGGAAAATTTTGAGCCAAAAAGAAAAAAATCTAAGCTGATATTTCCCAAGGAGGCCAGTGAGGTAATAAAACCTTAGAGATGAATTTGATAGAATGTCCCAACCGCAAGTGTGATGTCATCACCTATGGTCCAATGAGGACTATGGGCGGGTTATTTAAACTCACCTTGTCTGGGGAGTCAGTTCCCCCTGATGAGCCTTTGTTCGGTGAAACGCACGTCGGGGCTCCTGATACTTGGTCCTCTTCAGTGCAAATATTTACATTTCTCTTGCTACCTTAAATGTATATTCTTGATTTATATCGCTACACCCAGGACATTTCTACGGACTATCTTACTAGATCTTTTGTAATAGATTAGTCTACCAGTTCAGTGTACCAGTTTAGCTCTTTCGTTACCATAACAAGTATATCTCAGTGCTAACCGTCTATCCAGCTATCTCATGGAGCAGTTAGCCAGTTAACTATCTATTACTTAGAGACAGGTGCCCTTGAAGGCAGAGATCAGGAAATCTACAGAGATTGTGCGTTATCCATGGCTATGTTCCTACATGTGTCAGCTAATTTTTATTATATACTCATAGATTGAGATATTGCTACAGACTTATATGCATTTCAGTCTTTATTTGCGTTTTCAGAGCATGGTATTGCATCTGGTCTTTTTATTTTTTTGGGGGGGAGGGGGGCATTAACCTTGTTAGCTGTTCCTATTTATCAGCAATGAGCATATTTATGCTATCTTGCTAATACAGCACGTAGCACTACCCTCATTTAGTATCTTCTTTGTTTTGCTAACATTGTGTTTATTATTTATTTGTTTATCCAAATAGATTTCACTACACTTATTTCTATATATTACGATCTAGTTATCTAGCTAGTCAATTGCAACGGTGTTGCATGCACTGCGCAGCTACTGCTTCGGGGGAGTATCTGCTTAACCCCCTACTGGGTTTCTACCCTTATTTTGTCCATTTATTTATTTGTTAAATTTCACTCCCCTCCTTTTTGTATATATTCCTCACTTAGCGTATTTAGATCTTGTCACATATTCTGCTCAAATTAACTATAATGGTGGCGGAAGTGACTAGTGATTAAGCATCTGTGCGTGTGTTTTTAGTTTAATTAATAAAGGATTTTATTGACCTTTTCTATGATAGTACTGGGACACATTACTCTTCTTCATTTATTTATTAATTACCCTAGCGTTACCCCCTTATCTGTTCCCCATTTCCTCTATTTGGATCTACACTGGGCCAACATTCTATGAAATGTAAGGTTGTTTCTTTTTTTTTGCCCCATGTCCCCTTTCACCAAGCAACCCCTTCTCCTCTCACCCAGAAACCCTTGTTCTCACACCCAGCCTTTGTCTCCCCCTTGTTACCCTCTCGCACCCAGCAGCTCCATGTATCCATCTAACACCCAGAAGCCTCGTCTCCCCCTCTCACACAGCAGCCTATGTACTCCTCTCACACCCTGTAGACCCATGTCCCCCTCTGTCAGACAGTACCCATTCCACATACTAGATCTCCCCCCCAACTTCAATTCTCTCCCGCCTCACACATACATACCCTATTCCCACACATTACATTTGGGCTACCCTCAGGGACATTAAACCGATATCCCCACTTTTGAGAGGCATACATGTGATCGGTGATGACACAACATGCTCCATCTCGGGCAGTGGTCCTCTTGGGGCTGCTCTGCCTTCAAATGCTCGGGCTAAATTTTTATTCCATTCCAGCCCTGTATATAGGTATCACATAGAAATCATAGGTAGGTTGAGGGTCCCAGAGCTCTGTGTAAATACCCCCTCTATATAGGATTCCCAGGTAGGTTTCAAAGCTCTGTAGAAATATCCCTTATATAGGATTCTCAGGTAAGTTTCCAAGCTCTGTATAAATATCCCTTATTTAGGATTCTCAGGTAGGTTTTCAAGGTCTGTATTAATATCCCTTATATAGGATTCACAGGTAGGTTTCCAAGTTCTGAATACACGTCCCTTAAACAGAGCTATTAGGAAGGCCCCCAAATCCTGTAAATACATCCCTCAGGTGGTGTTGAAGCGATGTTACAAAGTGATATCTGTATTATGTCCCCAGTGTTTAAATAAAGTTTTAAAATAAAAAGTAGCTGAAATTCGCACCTTCTTTTGTGACATTGTGTTTGATACGAGGCTCTCTACTCTCTCTATGTGATGCTCAGGTTGTGCTCGCTTCCACCAAGGACACAGGTCAGGTTGTTGCCATTAAAATAATAAAGAAAGATAAAGTTGAGGCAAAGACCATTCAGAAGGAGAATCGAATACTGCAAATGGCGAGTGGCAGTTCGTTCCTGTGTCATGGACTTGCTTCCTTCCAGACCCCGGTATGAAACTCCGTGCCCATAATGTTTCCTTATTTCTAGATATGTCTATATGGCTGATTGTGTTCTGTTAATATTAATGCAGTATATATTAACTGGGAATGTGTTGCCTCTCTTGTGAAACAGAAGACCACCTCCCTGGTCATGGAGTACATACCAGGGGACAGTCTCCAATCCTATATGACTGGGAAGGAAAAACTGTCCATGGAGGAAGCAAGGTGAGTCATTAATAGCTATAGCAGGTAATAATAATAATTTGAAATATTCTACCGTGTTATATGTTGTTTTAATATTATTGTTTTGGGCAGATTGCTTGATGTTCTTTCTATTCTTTTTTCCAGGTTCATTTCCGCAAACCTTGTCTGTGGGATCCAGTATCTCCATTCCCGAGGGATACTTCATAGGTCAGTATTAGCGTTTGTTGATTTAGAAAGCACTATCGTAGTCTAATGAGAAATAATGTGTTTATATCTCTGCTCTTTCCTTTATCTCACATTTATATCTGTCTTAATTATTTAGGGATCTGAAGCCAGCCAATATTCTCTTTGATGCCAAGGGCTATGTCAAAATAGCGGATTTTGGCCTCTCGGAAGAGAATATTTTTACGGATACAACCACCAATGGACGAGCTGGCACATTCAAGTACATGGCACCAGAGGTTAGTTAGAGGGTGTGGTTATGTAAGCTGTAGGGGGAGGAGTTAAGAGTAGCGGTATGAGAACACTATAGGTTTCATGAGCAGTAGAGAGCCGAGTATCGGTAGGGAGATTAGGGCACTATCAGAATAGCAGTGGGTGGACTGAGAGGAATGTGTTTAGGCTAGTTTTGGAATAAAATGATGGGGATAATATGAAAAGCTGTAAGATAGACTGCAATGGGTTTGATATGGAGTTTGAGAATATCACCAAGTAGAAATATAGTAATGATGTGTCCATTTAATACCACGTTTAATAAAATGACATGTCTCATGTGTTTTTCCAGGTACTAAGCTACAAAAAGTATGGCCATTCAGCAGACTGGTGGTCGTTTGGCGTCATTCTCTATCACATGATAACTGGGCATATTCCATTCAACACCAAGATCAGTAAGACGCATTTTATAAATGAAGTATTAAAAGCTAACCCAGGTTACCCAACCTGGCTGGGCAGTGATACTATAGACCTCCTGAGCAAGGTAAGGAACAGGCTGTGATAGGAGCAGATACACTGTAAGCCGGTAATAGAGAATGTGCCAGTTAATGTATTAATTGAATATAATGATCCAGGTTGTAAAGAAGACGGATAGAAGTTACTGGAGAAGATATAGGATATCGGTGGTAATAGATACTGGCTCTATTTATTGCAGTATGTACTAACCCGGTTATAGAACCAACTGTTAATAGTGAGAATAAAACAAGACATATACTTTACAAAATGTAATCTTGTCTATTACTATCTACCTGCAACGTACCGACAAATGGAGAAGCCATTTTCTGATTCTATTGGACTACACAAGAGGAAATCTTTATTCAAATATATTTATACCGACAGGAAAAAAAATAAAAAGAGGCAGCTTTGCTCAGGAGTAGGCACCATCTAGTGTTTAATTGCATATGTGCTTGCTGAATGACTTATCTGCTGTTTAGATATATATCAAAGTGATGTACCTACTCCCTATTTTAATTACTATGTGATGCCAATTAATTGCCTCAATAAAATAAAAAAATATTTATAAAGAATTAGAGTTGCTGGTATGAGATGTAACAATTTTCAACAAACTTTACACAAACACAGCCTCATCTGAGGTTTGATAGAAGGTTAAAATGGCTTCCTTCAACAGGGGTGATAACTTGTAGTTTGCGTTATAGATTATTACATTGTACATTAAAATGTTACAGTTCAGAGATATCACAAAGTTAGTGTTATACTCCGTGTATCCCCTCTCTCTCTCTCTTACTAGCTCCTGGATAAGGACCCTTGTGCACGCGTTGTGATGGGAAGGAACATTCGGGAGCACCCCTTCTTCAAAGACATTAATTGGGAAGATCTTGAGAGGGGTAAAGTGAGCTGTCCATTCCTGACATTGCTAGTAAGTGCACATAGAATCAGTATTTACAAACTGAGAAGGGATTATATAGAATAATAAATCCTTAATTATTATTATTATTAAAAAACGATTCCTTAATCCTCCATTAATCACATCCCAGCAGGGGTTCAACTAAAGAAGTACTGGATTAATTTCTCCCCACCGTTAATGTAACCATTAGAAACTGTACATTGTTATTTATATGTAAGAAGTAGACAATGCCATATGATGCTAAACTAATTACATTTCCCTTCATATTGCAGACACCAGAGACAGGCAACACGGGGAAGTAACTGAAAACTATGTCATCAGTGGCCCGTCTTTCACTATCCCTAAATGTCAGGAATGAAAGTACTGTAGAGGCGTCCAACAAGGAAGATAGAGATGGCCATGTCTACAGGATCTGCTCGAACATCAAAAAGAGCATGTTCTCCTATTTTATAACATTAAACAAAAAAATATATTGCTTTATACCATCAAAAACTTACATTATCTGTATTATTATTTTCAAATCAAACATTTCCTGGAAAACCAACAGGATAATATAATAGAGGAGAATAAAAGTCTGAGAACTATTCTCAATAGTCCAAATTCAAGAGGGCTGATATCTAGGTAGATATGATCAGAGAAATAGACAGTTAAACAGTTTTAATGCCAAAGTGGTATGGGGAAAAGACCTGAATAGAGAGATATCAGCCGATGATTGGCTCAAGGCTATAAATATTGTAAATCAAACGGCATACTGTTGGATATATATTTTTTTTTACACAAACTATTTATTAAACTACATATTCTGATGACCACCAAGTTGGTACTAGCGAGAAATTGTAGAAGCTGTAGCATTCCATAATTAAAGGAAATTTAGGCTCAAGCCTTATACCGAAGTAAAATGGGATTGGCTACTAGTAAAAATAACTCATACGTAATGTGAAAATCAAATAAATGGATGGATGTTATTGAATTGGAGAGTAGCGTTGTCACGTCTCAGCGGAAACTTGTATGGGTGTGTACTGTGGGATATAGAAAATAGATAAGAAATTTGGTATAAAGCACAATTTTTATTCTTTTCAAAGTATTTTTATTGTATTTTTTTAAAACTTGTTTAAGTATTTTGTATGTGTATTAGTAATTTTATGTAATTGAAAGTTGCAGTTATTGCATTTGATAAATTTTGTTACAATAAAAGAAAGTAAAATAAATATTTACATTATTTGTAAAGGGTGTGTGTGTGTGTGTATATATATATATATATATATATATATATATATATATATATATATATATATATATAGAGACACATACATACACACACACACACAGGGAGTGCAGAATTATTAGGCAAATGAGTATTTTGACCACATCATCCTCTTTATGCATTTTGTCTTACTCCAAGCTGTATAGGCTCGAAAGCCTACTACCAATTAAGCATATTAGGTGATGTGCATCTCTGTAATGAGAAGGGGTGTGGTCTAATGACATCAACACCCTATATCAGGTGTGCATAATTATTAGGCAACTCCCTTTCCTTTGGCAAAATGGGTCAAAAGAAGGACTTGACAGGCTCAGAAAAGTCAAAAATAGTGAGATATCTTGCAGAGGGATGCAGCACTCTTAAAATTGCAAAGCTTCTGAAGCGTGATCATCTAACAATCAAGCGTTTCATTCAAAATAGTCAACAGGGTCGCAAGAAGCGTGTGGAAAAACCAAGGCGCAAAATAACTGCCCATGAACTGAGAAAAGTCAAGCGTGCAGCTGCCACGATGCCACTTGCCACCAGTTTGGCCATATTTCAGAGCTGCAACATCACTGAGTGCCCAAAAGCACAAGGTGTGCAATACTCAGAGACATGGCCAAGGTAAGAAAGGCTGAAAGACGACCACCACTGAACAAGACACACAAGCTGAAACGCCAAGACTGGGCCAAGAAATATCTCAAGACTGATTTTTCTAAGGTTTTATGGACTGATGAAATGAGAGTGAGTCTTGATGGGCCAGATGGATGGGCCCGTGGCTGGATTGGTAAAGGGCAGAGAGCTCCAGTCCAATTCAGACGCCAGCAAGGTGGAGGTGGAGTACTGGTTTGGGCTGGTATCATCAAAGATGAGCTTGTGGGGCCTTTTCGGGTTGAGAATGGAGTCAAGCTCAACTCCCAGTCCTACTGCCAGTTCCTGGAAGACACCTTCTTCAAGCAGTGGTACAGGAAGAAGTCTGCATCCTTCAAGAAAAACATGATTTTCATGCAGGACAATGCTCCATCACACACGTCCAAGTACTCCACAGCGTGGCTGGCAAGAAAGGGTATAAAAGAAGAAAATCTAAATGACATGGCCTCCTTGTTCACCTGATCTGAACCCCATTGAGAACCTGTGGTCCATCATCAAATGTGAGATTTACAAGGAGGGAAAACAGTACACCTCTCTGAACAGTGTCTGGGAGGTTGTGGTTGCTGCTGCACGCAATGTTGATGGTGAACAGATCAAAACACTGACAGAATCCATGGATGGCAGGCTTTTGAGTGTCCTTGCAAAGAAAGGTGGCTATATTGGTCACTGATTTGTTTTTGTTTTGTTTTTTGAATGTCAGAAATGTATATTTGTGAATGTTGAGATGTTATATTGGTTTCACTGGTAATAATAAATAATTGAAATGGGTATATATTTGTTTTTTGTTAAGTTGCCTAATAATTATGCACAGTAATAGTCACCTGCACACACAGATATCCCCCTAGCATAGCTAAAACTAAAAACAAACTAAAAACTACTTCCAAAAATATTCAGCTTTGATATTAATGAGTTTTTTGGGTTCATTGAGAACATGGTTGTTGTTCAATAATACAATTAATCCTCAAAAATACAACTTGCCTAATAATTCTGCACTCCCTGTATATGTGTGTATATATATATATATATATATATATATATATATATATATATATATATATGTGGCGAAACCAACCTCGCCACTGTGCACTGGAGAAGCCTGGTTGCCAGCCTCCTGCCATCTGACTATGGCCCCCTTTTAAAAGACTTTATTTTTGCCTGCAGAAAAGCTGTATTCGTGCTTTTCTGCCTGGGGTTCGGTAGATGTGTTTGAATGTGTTATACCGCAGATAGGAATCCCATGGAGCCCATTTGTATGAAACTGACTGTAAAGACTTTGGCTCCATGGCGATTAAACTGTATTCGTGTGGTCTGAGCGCCATTCACTTAATAATGTGCGCTCAGACCTGAGCTATCTGGGGATATGTGAAATGTCTGTGTGTTATGTGTAAAATGTGACTTTATGTATTTTAAAGTGTTTTGTGTCTTTTGCAACCATGTGCTTAATGGAGTCTTGTGTCTGTCCTGGGAGATAATTGAATTACTTATCTCCAGGATAGAAGACTTTGAAACTGGTTTGGGCCGGAAAGCCATGCTTCATTTAGTCACAAAGGACTTTCCCTTAACTTTTGAACCCCTGGTCTGATTCGTGCCATTTTTTAATATGTTGTTCCCCTGAATGGATTGATTATGAAAATGTATGTTTTATGTTTGTGACATGTATATTTTAGAAGTTAGAAATATTGTATAAAAACTGTATTCCTCTGCCGGTGATAATGAGATTACCCATTGTGTTCAGTAATCATATCACCTGCAGAGGGGAGGATTTTGTGTGGGAGTGTCTGGGTGCATTGTACGGATTGATTGGTTGTTTTGTAACGCCCTGTGGGCTGTACTATGTTTTGTGGATTGTAATAAAAACCAGGCTGGGTGTGCCAGCACTTGAGTTCCTGTTTTAACCCTCAAAGTGAAGTGTCGTCTCATTATTGGGGGAAGGATTTATTGTATGCTGTTCCAGTTTGACTGCTAGGAGGGTAAACCTATTCGTATGGTTTCCTAT